GCAAACCAAAGATGCCTTTTAAAAAACAAGTTTACCTTACATCATATTCTTATGCATGCCAGAGCTGTGTGTGAGGTAATTTAAGGTGGTTCTGACAAGTGTCATCGGCATCTTCATATCCGGTCACATGGGCTGCAAGCCACTCCCATCCGGTCACATGGGTGGCAAGCCACTCCCACAAAGGAGGCCACACCCGCAGAGTAGGTTCAAACAATTTTTGAAACCCACCACTGCTTTGATGGATGGAACTCCAAGGACTGACTGTAAGTACCAGTAATGCCGTTGGAAGTCTGAATGGTCACTAAATGTGTGGTTGTTAAATAAGGACCACTTGTGAGGAAAATTCTTTACATTTTCTCTACTTCCTCAGTTATATAAAAAACAGGGTCGATGCAATTACAGACTGCCACATGGTTATTATTATTTTTGAAACAAAACAGGAATTTCAGCTTTAAAAAGTCTTCTTCTTAACAAGACTATTATTTAGTTTTGCAAAACACTTTTTATCCAATGTCTCACTTAATAACTGAAGTTGTTCCTTTAATGTATGTTAGTGGTTGGTGGCTACTATTTTTTTGTCCGTGTGTGTTGTGGGATAGGGAGATCCTGCTTGAATACTGAAGCTAGTAAGTAAGAAAATGTTGGGCATACTACAAGTTCTGTTTTGGGAAATTAATATTTCCCAATTCTTTCTAGCTTCACCTTCCCTATTGGCTCCATTGCTCAAATGGTATAACTGAAAATAAGCAACACAACTATAATTCCAATTGATTTAATCTAATATTCTCATCACATGAGGGAATTCATTCATTCATTCATTCATTCATTCATTCATTCATTCATTCATTCATTCATTCATTCATTCATGCATGCATGCATGCATGCATTGGGTTTCTATACCTCTCGCCTTACCAAAAAGACTCTAATTAAGAGATGCCCTGAAACATCCTACTGCTCAGCAAATTAGTGACCAAAATTGTTTTATTACTAATTTTAACCTTAAACCAACTGAGGCTTAAGACTTTCCTGTACAATTGAGTGATATTGCTCATCTCCCATCCCTGAGGCAGAAACAAAATCATTCTAATGTGCAATTTACCCCATTTGCAGATCAGGTTTCTGCCTCTATTCTGCATACTCTGAGTCACCATCAAATGGTGCTGTTTCAATTGTAAGAGATAAGGAACCAGACACTTCCTTGGCTTTCCTGCCCTCCATCTTAAGCTCATGGAGCTAATGGGAAAAGCACCCATCAATCATGCCACTGTTGCAGGAACAGGAAGGGTGACTTCAGGATTCTTTCTATATTCTCTAGCTTCTTCCTGAGATTTTCCTCCAATTCCCCATTGTACTCTAACTGACTAACGAACCAAAAAGTCATGTAGGATGCTGAGTGGCAAGCAGCAGTTAGACTCAAGATTTCTCTCCCTTCCTTTTCCTTGTATAGATAGTTCTCGGCTTATAACCATTTGTTTATCTCAAAGGTGTTTTTTTTTCCAAAAGGCAACTGGACTTCGTTTTTCCTTGAAGATGTTTTGCTTCTCATCGCTTCTCAAAAGTCCAGGTGCCTTCTGAAAAAGCACCTTTGGGACAACCATGACCTGGATGATTGAGAATCCCCATGGACATTTAACTATTTGGTTACAGTGGCATTGAAAAAAGTGAGTTATGACTGATTCTCATGCTCATAACCATTGTAGAATTCTCATGGTCACAGGATCAAAATTTGGATGCTTGGCAACCAGCATGCATTTACAAAGGTTGCCTTGTCCTAGGGTCATGTGATCACCATTTGCTAACTTCCCAGCCAGCTTCTGATAAGCAAAGTCAGTGAGGGAAGCTGGATTCTCTTAACGACAGTGATCCACTTAACAAGTTCAGTAATTGGCTTAACAACCATGGTGAAAAAAAAGGTCATAAAACCAGGCACAAGTCACTTATCACCTTGCTTATCAGGAGAAATTCTGGTCCCAATTCTGGTTGCAGAATTGTTGAATAGTCAGAAATTGCATACTACCTCTATAGACAATACATGTGCAAAAAATGTTCCATATTTTGTTAAGGAGCAATTGGAAAACACTATTTCATACATTCAGCCTTGCGAAAAGAGTTGAAGCAATTTCAATATTGCCAGTGTAGCGCTACTACAAAACTTCTGATTGGCCAGAATTTGAATTTACTGCTTCTAGTCACTTTCAATATTCCGTGGAGAATCTAAATAAATGACAACCCATGTTATGAACTGCGGGCAGATGTGTCGAACTCTTTTGTAACCATCTTGAACTTGGCAGCTCAAACTGGATAGTTCTACAATCGTATTGTTGAGTATCCAAAATGGGAGAGGTGAGCAAAGAAAAATTAGTTGGAAGCTACAGAACATCTAATGAGGGAGTGGAGGATGGATAGAGGGGCTGGCAAGTAATAATCCGGTTAATTGGTGCTTTGTAAGCAGTTGTGTGAATGGGAATGCCCCTCAGCCAAGAGCCAAGGTGGCGCAGTGGTTAAATGCAGCACTGCAGGCTAATGCTAGATCAGCAGGTCAGCGGTTCAAA